TAATATATCAACACGCACATACACACTCACACAGACACAGACACAGACACAGACACAACATATATTTATATATATATATATATATGTGGTATATATATATAAATGGTAAAAAAAATATGTCTACACAAATGTACGTAAATATTAATCACATCACAGGCGCCACTGTACCTAATCTTATATTTTTCTTTGCAAAACGCGCAACGTTTGGTCGTGCAGGACTCGTATGTCATTCCTTACAATATACAGATAAAATATTGTTTGAAGTTGTACAGGCAGCAAAACATAGTTCAAACCCCCCCGTTCTATATGTGATTCATATAAAAAGACGGAGTTTGGTACGCACTTTGCTAGCTCGAAGACCTGGGGGATACTCTCTTCATCCACATCTAATGCCAGGTGGCCTGTAACTCCGTATTTCTTGACTATTTCTGCAATAGTTTGGTCATTAGGAATGCCCGTGAAGTTCGAGTTTCGTATGGTAATACAAGGCACTATCATCTTCGCGAATTGCGAGTATTATCGATGCACTTCTATAATTGTAGATAAACTACAAAGTCTCCGGACACAATCCGGTGGTTATGGTACTAAATATGTAGAAATATGAACTACTAGTAGATGTATATATCGATATACACCACCATATATTTACATACGGCACCTACAAATATGTAAAAATCTATTTACAAAACAATACATCAATCATGCACGCCATCATGATGGAACGAATACTCTTCTAATAATTGCGATGATATCAGCCACCCAATGGGCAGCAACAGGGCCCTGACGTAGGCAGCAACAGGGCCCTGACGTAGTATGGCAGGAGGGAGACACGGACACGCCCAGTCTGGGGCTGACACTCCAACTCTCCCAGAACTTAGAAGTCCACACTCCACAGTCCCTGAGTCCACGAGACCCTTTTTCTTGAAATGAAATTTTACAGGTCTATAGCAAGGCCGTGGGCGACTCAGCCCTCAGGGCTCAGGGCCAGGCACGCGAAACGTCAAGGCATCCATCACCACGACATGAATATTGAATGGGTCACAAAGATGTCAAAGTCCTGTCCATCCCAATTCTGTACCAAATTCAGTAATTTTATGGTATGTACATATCCCGAAAACAGCCTCTGGACGACTCTCAGGCCTCCGCTGCCATACTATTTAAAAACCAACAATAATATTTTAATCATCAGAAATAGGTATTATGAATACTCATAGCCTCCTAAATTATACATTCTCCCGATTACACAAATTAGGTCTTAAAATCCGTATTGATAATCGTTTTATGAAAGCAGCCGCATTTTAAAATATATTTTGGTATTTGTAGCTCTAAACTTTCAATTGGACCAAAATTAGGGTGCAAACCGAACCTTAAAATTCATACCCCCAAGAAACGCATATCATCCATCGGTCAAACCCACGCCGATTTTTGCCACAGATAGCTAAATTGTCTGTCTGTGAGAGTGTGGGTCACAGCGGGAACTGGGAGTCACGGGGGATTTTCTGTAAACAGAACGCTTTCCAAATTTTAGAAACGTATTGTATGACTGTATGCATGTACGCATATTGTTGGTTACTGAACCTAAAATAAGTGTATCAACCATAGTCTATTTATCTGTACTGTATAATACACCTGCTATATACATACATCCATAGGGATACATATACACACAGTACACATAAATAGGCCCCTGAAGATTAGTCAGCACAACCACGATGCAGGAAGTCAATCAGATGCTGTCATCTACCAGTGTAGATGACAAAGGGGGAAACCAATTCAAGAAGCGGGACGCCCTAATCGAATTGGAGGCCAAAGCTCAGAAGAAATGGGACACTTTAAAGGTATTTGAATCGGACGCGCCTGAGGCAGGCACACAGGAATTCGAGGATAAAAACAAGTACATGTGCACATTCCCCTATCCGTACATGAACGGACGATTGCATCTCGGACATTCGTTCTCGCTATCGAAATGCGAGTTTAGTGTGGGATTCGAGCGTCTAAAGGGAAAGAACGCTCTGTTCCCCTTCGGATTCCATTGTACTGGTATGCCCATCAAAGCGTGTGCTGATAAGCTCGCTCGCGAGATGGAGTTGTACGGATGTCCACCGCAGTTTCCCACTGAAGAATCGTCCAATTCTGGCGTCGAGAAGAAGTCCAAGATCGCTGCCAAAGAAGGTAAATATGAATTGTAGATGTATATGTACATGTTTAGTACATATATACATGTCATCATATATCTACACACAAACACACAAACACATACGTGCAAATTT